CAGGCGTGCCTCAGTTTCAGTTGCCTCTGACCGCCTGACTGCCTGCCTGGGTGTCTGGCTGAATGGCTGAATGGCTGACTGCCTGACTGCCTGACTTTCTGTGGTCATTGCCCAGAGCACTGACAAACGAATTGATACAGAAATAGAGGGACTGCGCTAAAGAGTGAAAGAGAGAGGCTGAGTGGGAGAGGGGGAGAGGGGGAGACCGGGTGAGTTGGGTAAAGACGTGTGCACACACTGGCGGCGACAATGTATACATTTGCACATGCAAATTGACGCGACGGCCCTCTGGCGAAGAGGACGCGAGCTTTGAATGCAGCACACTGTCCCACACATCCACACCACAATTACACACTAATGAACTGCACAACCATCCCTACCAATACCCTCTCGAGGTAGAACCAGTACCTACCTAACATGTAACTCTTCACCACATCACTTTGCTGCCTGCCTTGGACTTGCGGCTGTTCTTGTTGTCCGGCTGATGCGACATTCGTTGCAATCGCAAATAGCAGTCAGAGATCCTTCCAATATAGTTAGTGCTTTTACATTTTTGGGCAATATCTGTGTGATTTTGTGAAAAACAGCATTTATTCATTTAACTTTAGCAAAGGTCTGCTGTTTCTGCGTTATTTAAATTATCAGTAATTAGAGAAAAGTCAACAAGAACCAATTAGAAGCAGGTAGGAGTAGGACTTTATAGCTTAAACTATATTGCTTTGCTAATTTAGACTTGTAGCTTGAGAGCTCTGGTTGTATGTTAAATATCTACCTCATTCGAGTTAATGAAAAGCTTGGGCCCCACTTTGGGCGCCAATATACAATGCACTTGAATGCAACTTGAATGCTACATTTCATATCGTCGCAATTAATTTTGTAGAGTTCGGATGGGAGGAGCTGCTTATAAATTCGCTTTTAATGATATGTACTTTGAAGCTCACAGCTGCAGCATTGACAGAAACAACAGCATTACTTGTAGGAGCCGCTCGTTAGGGTTGCAGACTCCAGGTTGTGCACATACACCTCAGACAACATTGGAGTGTACGGGGAACTGAGAGGCACATGTGCCTAAGGCAATTTGTCTGCGCACGCATATTACATGGCATGGAGCCTAGAGATGAAAGGACGAGGCAGGTGCTCACGCATCAGTTGTCAACGTTGCTCTGTCATCATGTCTCACACTCTCGTGTCAGCTACCCATATCGTCGTTTAGCTTTTGAAAACCAACGGCACATTCTTTGCGACCGCCAAACGCCAAAACCTTTTACCAAAACCGAAAAAAGTATATAGCTCCAATGCATGGTGCCTTTCAGATCAGTCCTCCCCATTCCCCATTCCCCGTCCCTCGTTCTCCATTCTTCGCACTCCACCCATCTGCCCATTCATCCTGCCGACTGTCTGCCCAGGTGTAGCGACATCTGCGCTGACGTTCCGTTCGTCCTTGCACAGGCACTGGTACTGGCTCTGGTAGTCGACGTTGTCGTCATTTTGCTTGTCATCCTCGCGACATCAAAGCAATTTCATTTCGATTGCTTTGTGCGGGGCTAAAGAGTAAGGGGAGACCGACTTGCTGGTGCCGAGGGGGATGGGGGAAGGGGTGTGCTGACTTTGATGGTAGCTTAGCCTAAATGGCTACCGCGAATTGGAATGCGAGAAAGGGTTTAAGGCTAGGGGAGGCAGTGAGTGGCTTAAACGCAGTCAATTTGTAAGCGAAAAGAAAAAGTAATATAACGACTGACATACATACTTTATGGCATTTTATTGTTTTGCATAAAATTCACTTAAAATTGTTAAATCGCATGGAAAATTGCCGATGAAAACGATGACAAATTTCGTCATTACCAGTCGAACCGAGGGGGTGTGAGACCGAAAGCAAGGCATATGCAAAATGCATCAGAAATTGCAGGAAAAATACGCAGAGAAAAACTGTTTCTTCAATTCGATGCAGCCTCTATGGAAATGGTTAGTTATAAAAAAAAAAAAAACAATATTATTTTCTGACTGAGAACATTTGGCCAATCGAAATTGTTTTAGTAATCATAAAATATTCAAATAAAAATTGTAGGTTTAGAGTTTCCCAAGTTTCCCCGACATATTAAAATTATATTTCATGATTGAAAGGCAAACTCTTTTCATTTTATCTAAAGCATACTTTAAAAGGCAGTATTTGTCAAAGAAATAATTCGGAAGACCTATGTGGCTGTATATACTTGTATGTATATCTTTATCTTGTCTATTATTGAGAAATATCGGTGGCAAGTATTTGGTAGAGAAATAATAGCATAATTTAGCATTTAATCTTAGTTTCAAAGTTATTTTAAAACAGACCGATAACGCATTTATTCTCCGAGTGTGGAAGTAAAGTTTTCCACTTGCATGGCTGGTCTCATAATTCATGAGCTTGCATCTTTCGAATTCAGTAATTATGTGCACAGGCATAATGAATGGGTGGGGGGGGAGGGGGGTGGTAAGGGACTTGTATTTAGTTAGTTTCATTAGAGTTGCCAATATGATTAATTAGTCACGCTGCAACGCAACTCATGTAGTTCGATTAGGTCGAGGGGCAGCCGGAGAGTGGCAGCGAGAGAGTGGAGTAGAGCAGAGCAACAGAAATTTCTCTCATGAGTTTACGGTCAAACTTTTACCTGTGTGCTATATGTGTGTGTGTGTGTGTGTGTGTGTGTGTGTGTGTGTGTGTGTGTGTTTGTGTGTCCCCTAATTAGTTGATTCATAATACCCGCAACTTTTAACACTCACACACACGCATACATACAGACGAGTACATACCTACGTATATACATCAGCAAACAGGACTCTGTGTAATGAACTCAACTTAAAAGGAATTCACTTTGTCAACCAAAATTAAAAAGCGGAAAGTGCAAACTTTTTGGCCAGCCTCACGCAACAGCGACAACAAAAGCAAAAACACAAGCCAACAACAGCCAAAGCAACATCAACAAAACAAAACGAGTGAAAAATGGCAGTAGCAGCCGCCACGACGACGACGACGACGACGATGACGATGATGACTGTTACGATGATGATGATGATGACGCCTCCTCCACTCACCTAATAAGTCAGCAAAGCGTAAAAATTTTGCAAAGTTTTATGGCACTTGACCAGCTGCAGGAGGCGAGGCCGTTCCTGGCGGTGCGGGCGAGAGGGAGGGCCATGGCGGTGATGGTGATGGCGATGGTGATGGTTAGGGGCGTGAAACTGCATCCATTTAAATACACTAGCCGGCATGTGTATTTTGACAAAATTAATTTTTCAACTTTGAGTGGAGGGGGGGAATAACAAACAACCGACTCGATAAAGTCAAAAAAGAAAAAAGAGAAAGTTAAGCAATTTAATGCCTCGGAAATTCCACAAAATGTATGAAGAGGCCATGCAGTCATACTAAGTATAGTGAAGCCAAAAGGCATTTTATTACAAGTTTTTTATTATAAGTCGAGTAAGTATTAAGCCAAACAGACTTAACACAAAACTATACTCAGACAGCTAACGAGCTTTTACAAAATCGCAGTTCGATTTTACAAATTTATTTCAACAGATCTGTTGAAGTGGGCAACGATTTTGCAATAAAGAGTTGCGTTCGGATAATGCTTACGAAACTCTAACAGATAACAAATATTCCAGATAATCACTCTTTTAGTATTAATTTAGTACTTTAATCTAATCATACTTCATTATTTTTTATTGCTTTTTCTTTGTCTCGATTTCTTTTGTGTTAGGTCTCTGTCTCTCTGCTGGCAGCTTGGCAAATAAAATTCCCCCACAGAGTCCGATTCGTTATTATTTGCTATTTCTATTTTTGTTATTTCTATATATTTGTAATTTGTACAGGCTTTTTTATTCTTTAATGTTATTTAGTGTAAGTTCCCCACTGTATTGATTTTTGTTTTACATTGCCAGGCTTGTTTGTCGATAGCATAAATAAATAAAAAAAAATGCTTTAATGCTTTATTATTTAAATATTAAAAATTGATTAATGATTAGAATTGGTTTATCAGTTATTGTTGGAGCATTAGAAGGATTAAACCAAACTTCTTTACGAAAGCTTGTAGCATTTTCTTCCCCTAATGATTAATAAGTAAATAATTAAAAAAATAAATAAATAAATAAATAAATCTTTTGCTTAATTTCGTTCGAAACTTTTTTATTTACCAGAATGATTTTTCAAATCTAACAGCTCGATTTGAATATAAAAAGTAATTATTTTGAATGGCTTCAGGAAAGCAGAACATTATTGTTTAGCTGCGTATCAGAATTCCCCCAAAGCTTACAAAATACTGCAGCCGTGATGGATGAAAACTAAAGCAGAACTAATTAAGCAGTTTTGTAGTTGAAAGTCCCTAGAGTTGTACGTCAATTACAGATGAAAAGTCTCGTTTTATGACCCAATCTCTTTCTGCAACTATTTTATATCAATTATACGCACTGTGTGCGACCGGGGAAGCATCGGAGATGAGGCGTTTTGTTTTAAGTTGTTATTTCTCGTTGCTTTATGTTGAATTGCATTTCATTTTGTTTGTCTCGCCGCGTGCAAGTTGCAAGTTTAATTTCCTAATTGTTGAACGGCAATAACAAAAACACCCGACACCGGTCTGCATTTTCATAATGAAACGCAGTCGCTGCAGACAGGCGGCGACTTACAACCACTAGCCACCATTCCCCCAGCCACCATCCACCACCCACCACCCACCGCTCTGGCACCACCCCTTGGCCAAGTTAATAAACGTCCGGCCGCCTCGACAACTTTGCAACACTTCCGGCAACCGACAAAGCGACAAGCGTCATCTGCTGTTGCAGCTGTTGCTGTTGCTGCTGCATTTGATTCGTTCGTGCCCCTTCCCCCATCCCCCCCTGAAAAACCGTAACTGTCGCTGCTTGTCAAGCGTAACGCCTTTTGACAAGTTTGCGCAGAAAAACTTTAACTTCTACAGTCCGTGTTCTGAAACAGGACCGGGCCCTTCCCCCTACAGGCTTACAGTACTTACCGTGCGATTGCCCAAATTTTTAACGCGGCAGGTCAACTTCACCGTCTTGCCAACCAGTCCAGTTATGTTGGTGGCGACAGTTGTGTCAAAAGTCGGACCGCCGGTGCCCGGCGTTGGCAAATCCTGCAGAAAGTCTGTGAAGAAGCGCTTCGAGGCGCCCTGTGATGTGCCTGTAAATAAATGAGAAGGATAAAGTTACAAATTTGCTTTTGTGATATACGAGATACAATCGCGAAAGGCTCTCCCACTGCTTATGACGGCTTCTTTACAAAACACGATATGCAGTGAAGGCTCTCTTGGCCGGCCAAGGCGAGTGTCTGCGTAGGGGAATTCTTAAATAATTAAAGGCCAAGCGAATGTTTCAGAAAATGTGTTCCGGCAATAAGAGGGGTCAATTAAGCGAGTTTCCACTGTACACACAATTAGCTGTGTTATGCTATGCTGCGCCAAAGGTACACTCGTACACATCAAAAGGAAATTTTAGTGCGTTTCTTTGTACAAAACTGAAATGCTTTGCACAATTAAAGTCCTCGATGCAGCAATGCAGTGAAAGCTGAGCCACTTAACTCCAAAGTACTGGCCTAAAAAAGTGCCGGGCTATTCAGGGCTTCCAAAAACAAAGTATCTCCTTGGAAGTATACCTCGTAGTTTAAGGTAGTTTATTTTCAATGAAATTAAACCAAATCGAATCAAAATATACAAGTGGGAATTCCATTGCCTAGCCGTGGGAATGTTTCTCCCTTCAATTTATCAATTCGCATTTGGTTTGTTTAAATACAAGTACTTTGTTTTGAAGTGAAGAAACAGCTAAGAAGTTGCATAAGCAAGTTATTGTTGCTGTGTATTTTAAGAGCATTCCAGCTTTTTCTCCTCGAATACAGTCTGGCATTAACATTTTCTTTTACTGAAAGTCTGCCATTTCAGTTCTTAAAAGCAAATTTGACAGCAAGTCTGTTTACGGAAATACACTTAATGCCTTATAAATCATGAAAACATTTTTGTTGAGATCATTAGAGCCCCCCAGGATGTAGTTCGTGATGTTTTAAGCTCGCTTTAGTTTGAGGTGCCTGCCAATATCGGGCATTGGGGGCGGCGAAAGGGGTGGGGGCGTGGTGCCTCGGTTTAATGCGTTTAAAAGCTGTTTGGGCCGCGCTCATTTGAAAAAATACATCGTTGTTATCTCTGGGCCAACATCTTGGGGGCAAAACGTTAATTGGCAGTGCACACGACTTGTTCTAAATGTTGTTGTTGTTGTTGCTGATGTTGCTGTTGTTGCTCTTGTTGTTGCTCTTGTTGTTGCTCTTGTTGTTGCCATTAACAAGTGATTAAAAAATTGAAGCGGAAAAAACGCCTCACTATACTATGCTACGCTATTTATACGTACTATACTTGTACATGAATGCATATATACTATATGTACATATGTATGTACATATGTGTACATGTGTGTGTACGCATGTATGTATGGGTGTAGCATGCGCGTATGTGGAAGCTTGTCATGACGTGCTGTCGTGTCTCAGGTTATAATTTCAAATTAGTGCCGAGCCGCTTGGGCCAAGAGGCATGGAAAAATGCACTTAACGAGTGTTGTACGATGTATGTACTACTATACTATGTGAGTGTGTGGTGGTGGTGTATAGAGTGTGTGTGTGTGTGTGTGTGTGTATTGGGTATGTGTGTGTGTGCCGCTTGGTGTTTGTTGACAGCGTCATGTGGCGTTAATTGCCACTTTACAACGAGTGGCAATTTGGGCCCGGTCCCGGCCCATGGCGCAAGGTCCAATCGAAGCCCCAGCTCTGGCAGCAACAACAGCAACAACAACGGCAAGGGCAACAACAACAGCAGCAGCAGCAGCAGAAGCATATTTGCCACATGGATAGAATTATGTATGATATGTGTCTGTGCGGCACAGCTGTTTTTGTTGCTATTGTTGTTGCTGTTGTATTGCTTTAGCGCGCAGAGCGACCATACAGCAACAATAACAACAACAACAACAACAAGACATAACAACAAAAATTGCAAAGAAGCAAAGAGCGCAAATTTCTTAATGAAAATTGCACGAAAGGCAATTAATTAAATGATAAACGGCCATATTATGTGAAAGTCTGTACAGTATTGCTAGTCTTCTTCTTCTTCTCGTTGTTGTTGCTGTTGTTGTTATTATTGTCATAGTTTTGTGTAAGCAGTTTATGTAACATGGCATACAACATGCCCAACAGCAACTGCAACCAACCAGAACAGCAATGGCAAGCGTAGAAGGAGCTAGGATTTTACATCAACTTGTGAACTGAACATGTGTGGCGAACTGCCCCAAGACCCTGTTCTGGACGGAAGATGGAAGAAGCCCTTAAATGCCTTAATTTCGTTGGCATTGAATTAAAATACCATAACATTTATTTATGTATGTTTTGGATAGCAAAGTGCATATCGTTAAAGAGTTTCGAAATAGCTACACACAAATGCTTTACATATACTATATATTCTTGAAAAGTACGCCAAACAGTTAGTAAATTCTTATGCTTATTTGCACCAAAATAAATGAATAATACAAATACGATTAATTTTTCTGTCTTACTGGCATCTAAAAAAATCCTTCCCTAAAACACTCCACTGTGATAAATTGCGATGCGAAGGAGACCAATCGCCGGACGCCGTCGATTCAAAAAAGTGCACTCTACTTTTAATACAGATAGATACAATATATCTTTGTAATTTCGTTCTAAACTGAATGCTGAAGAAAGCCTTATTCCTGCACATTGAGGCCTGTAATTAATAATGAAGTGCATTTTTCTTAGCCCAGCACAATGGTTATTGCTTAATAACATAAAAAAAGGAATCATATTTCTTTCCACATACTACTTCGGTTATTGTTCGTCTCCTAATTTTCTGCCATGAAAGCAAATTTGTGTTTGTACTTTTTTGTCCAATGGTGCCCAATTATCCCAATTTTGTATTCACGCCTATTCAGTTGAGTAGCAACTAGATAGAAATGTTTCCTGAAGTCACCTTGCAACTTCGAGCTGCCTATTTAAAGAATAGAATACTCCAAATTTCTGCTTATATTTATAATTAAAATGTGCATTGAATATCAGAGTCAGAGTCATTCAAAAATTGAAGCTTGGCTCCTTGGACGAATCTATTCGTTGTCTATGCGAAGCACTTCAAAAACGTCCCAGCTGATTTGTTTCTTTTCTCGCTACTCCTATTACATAAATTGTTATTTTCCCTTTAACTAGTTACTAAGTAGAACTCATGCTCAGCTTTGTTGTCGATAAAACAAAAGTGTAGAGCATTGAGCCTGACTCGATAAGCAATAGAAACTGTTTTCTCTTCCCCAACATCAATTTTGAGGGAAGCAACGAATTTAAATTTCGAAAAGCCAACAAATTAACTTATATGGTCCCCATCACATATGCATGGCTTTAATTTAAATGTACTCGAATAATACCTGCACTGTTAGCTGCTCAAATGACATGTTAACGTGAAGTAAGAAATGTGTTGTCTGTCGCAGGAGTTCAGGTTATAGTCGAGTACGTTTCGTCAACGAGAAATGTCTGGCAATTGACAGCTTAACGATCCCTGGGCAACAATCGATGACGTAGTCGGCCATTATCACACACGCACACTCATTCTTTATGGTTTCTGTGTGAGTGTGTGTGTGTGTGTGGGGGGGGGGGGGGGGGGAGGACTCATTGGCTGTGGCATAAAATGCACAAATTCATGACGCGAAAAGACAAAGGAAACGAGAAAGGAGCACACGCACTGAAACACTGAAGCACTGGAGCGTTGGAGTTCGTGGAACTGCTCCGTTGATGGCTGAAAACGCGAGCAGTGCTTAGTGCTTCAGGACTATACAGGACCGAGGCGCACTCATGCTCATGTCGTTGAAAATATGTTTAATAAAAAAATTATGAACTTCAATTACGCAGCGTTTCGTGCAAGTAAAAAAGCGCGAAGAGACGAAGAGTGGAGAACGACATGGAAATGGGAATGAGAATGAGAATAAGGAGGAGACTACTCATAAAACAACGAACAAATGGCAGGCCATGAACGGGCGAACGAGTGTATGAGTGCATGAGTGTATGAATGCATGAGCGTGAGTGTGAGTGTACGTGTGCGTGTTGGTGTGTGAGTATTTGTGTGCCTTTTCTGTTCTGTTTGCATAACATAATTCGCGATGGTAAGTTGTAAAAAGACGGCAGTAAATCAGCTGCTGACATCGTCGCGACTTTACGACCCATTCGCCATAGAATGCGCCTAGGTGTCAACGGCAGACTCGAGACGGTCGTCCTGGGCAGAGGAGGGGTCTCAGTTGAGGCTGGGAGGAAGCGAGGGAGGGCGACTATAAGTGCGCCTTTAATTGGCTTGTCAGACGGCATCATCATAATCACGAACGCGTCGCTCTCAAATGTTACTGCCGCCTGCTCTAGATGGCAGCGGCAGTGGAGCAATGGCAGTAGAGCAGTGGCTGCGGCAGCGGCAGCGGCAGCGGCAGCAAAATGCAAATGGAACTTAGAAACCCATTAGGCTGCGTAATTGTGCCGTGCGGTTCTGAGAGTGTCTCTCTGTCTGTGTATTTGTGTGTCTCTCTCTGTGTGTGTGTGTATGTGTGTTGGTGACTGCGGCCGCCACAACGTGTTCGCGGACAACCGACACGGCGCTATGTACGTGCGGGTCCAACATTCACTTTTCCATACCCTGCTTCAAGACATTTTTCGAAACGGCATGTTGCTCTTTCAAAGCTCTCCATCACGCTGAGATTTCGAAAAGACACAGCAGAACAAATTACAAAATATAATATACTTGTATTCTATATATTCTATATATCCTATATATTCGATATATTCTACGCATTCTATATATTCTATATATTCTACATATTCTTTAAATTCGATATATTCGATATATTCTATATATTCTATATATTCTATATATTCTATATATTCTATATATTCTATATATTCTATATATTCTATATATTCTATATATTCTATATATTCTATATATTCTAGATATTCTATATATTCTATATATTCTATATATTCTACATATTCTATATATTCGATATATTCTACATATTCTATATATTCTATATATTCTACATATTCTATATATTCGATATATTCTGCATATTCTATATATTCTACATATTTTACATATTCTACACATT